CTGCGAAATCGCTCGTTAGGAACAACTGAAAAGTATGAAACGAGACATAAAAGAATAAGTATGAGCAGATAACACACGAATAAAAGCAACACGGCGCAAAAAAACATCGAAAAGACAAGAAATACACCAAAACCAGGATTATCGATCGGAGCGCGCGATCTGCGCCCAACGTACGCGTCATGCGCCAGAGCGCGTATTGACGCTCTTCACACTGTCGGTGCGGTCGGCGCCGTCGGCACCGACTGCACCGACCGCACCGGCGCGAAGTATGAAAGCAGCCTAACGTATATACAATCTTGCCTGCTATATAGCAGTCATTTGCTGCGCAGTGGACCGAGGTACGAAGGTCTCCACCCCTTCGCGCAGCAGGTGCTGTGATCCGAACTTGCTTCCATGCACATGAGCAACGCAGTGAGCAATACAAACTCCTGGACTGCATCCCTCACACTTTGCTTCTTCCAGATTTCCGATAATTCTTCCTCATGTAAGGTCATTCTAGGACCATCTCCATCTCTTGTAATGGAAAGCATACTACAGTGCGCAGTAAGGCGTCGCTGATTACACTTTGTCTTTTCTCCTGCCATCATGGGCCTCAAGTTGCGCAATCCACATAGTTGGCCCCAGGGTGTGATTCGCTAGGACAGGAAAGTGTTACATTTAGTTGTTAATAAGCTTTTCCTAGCTCATCCTTGATTTTGCACACCAGAGTATTCAGTGCAGAGATCCCTATAAGGTTTGAAAGGCTATAATCCACGTCCCACAAAGACCGCTGTTCATTATGTGTCAATGATAAACGAGTACTCAAATTTTTCTTCTCTTGCAAAAGTAATGTAATGGTCTTCTGGTGATGTAGTACAACTTCATTAAGCAGGTGCTAATAAAAATGATGGCAGATTCTTGAAAGAAATTCGGTGGTTCTCGCAGAAAGTTCCCTTCATGAGAAAAGCAAAGTACATTACAAGCAGAATAAAAAAAATTCTGTTCATTACAACTTTCATATTAAAACAGGTCACAATTAATAACGTTGGCAAAGAGGGCAGATTATCTCAACAGTGAATTTAGTCTACTTAAATCAGTGTACATATACCCGTCGAGTTATGGCACATTTTATGCTGCCTACAAGATCCATTTTACCCTTGCTTATCCTGCGTTGAACAAGTACGTTGAACTCTCGGTACTGCATAACTCAGCGATGACTCAGCATAAACTTTGTTTCGAGTGTGGATCACCGGTACACTTCCAGGTCGTATAACTTCACGAATAGGCTGAAAATTTCTTATCTTGGAACCTGGTACCGATATTTGAAGATAGTAATATATAGTTATTTTACTGTCCATGTATTCAGTGCACAATGTACTTGACATGTACGGTGTTTATGCAACACCAGTGTAATTTAGCGGTCGGATTGTGTGTGATGTTAAAATATAAACATCCAGCACTCGTTATCGTATTTTTGAACTTACACCATACATTTTTAGGAACTCTGGGGGGCATAGCGGTTTAGTGGTATTTCGGGCTGATGATAACAACGCAAATGAAAGAATATTGAAATGAAATGCTTTATCTAAAGTCTGGTTTTGAGTGACCTCTATATTCTTGCGCATATCGTTATTATCGGCCCTTATCAGCCGTTATCACTTTCTTTCCCCACCAATATGTTCCCGTCCTACCCCCTACATCACTTCTTGGAACCAACGCCTCACTGATGCTGGGACGCGCGCTATGGATATCGTGAAATTGGCGTTTCTGGCGCCTCTTATCGGATCTTATCAGTCGTTATCACTTTGGTCCCCCACCAAATATGTTCCCGTCCCACCCCCTACAACATACTCAAAATACACTGTTGCACCGAAGGCGCTATGAATTTCGTGACAGACACACACACACACAGACCTACACATACACAGACATACTTAGCGAATTAATATAGTAGGATATTAACCACGGTTATCCGCAAGTTCCGCGCCTCGCGAACCGCAACGCAAACATCATGTCCAAAACTCGCTGGAACGACGCCTGCGGTATTAATTTATGTTTTTGAGGACTCTCCTTTTTTCATATGTTTTTCTTACCACACAGGTAAACCTGTGCAATAAACAATTACAATTACAATTTTTTGTTTCTCACAGGTCTGATAAAGAAATAGCTGTGAAGGTCAAATGTTACCAAGAACCCTAAAATCTTACTACTTAGATACTTAGATACTTAGATGGCTCGTCTTCACTCCATGTGCGAGCCACCGCACAGATTCCATTCGTTTCGTCCTCTCGCTACCGTCATCCACGATACCTTTCTTCCTTGACGGCCACGAGTTTCCATAGCGGACTTCAGAACGTTAACGAACACGTCGGCCCATCTAATAGGTGGTCTCCCTAGAGGACGCTTGTGGTCTCTAGGGATCCACTCTATTGTCCTTCTCGTCCACCTGTCGTCAGTTCTCCTCATGATATGTCCGGCCCACCTGTGTTTTGCCTTGTAAGCGTATTCCACAGGATCTCTGAGTCGAGACATCACCCTCATATCTGAACTACGAAGTCCTGCTCGATGTTTGTAGCTGTCATTCGCTGTTTATGTTTAAACTACTACCTTTTCTTCTAACGCTTTCTGTGCTGTTTACGCGAAGCCGTATTTCGTGCTGGCCCTTCGTTGATCGTGCCCACGTTTCTGCAGCGTAACAGAGCGCAGGAAGCACTGTTTGATCAAAGAGATGGGCTCGCAGGTCTACATCTGAAAGATGGTCAGTGGCCTCTCTGATAGACCCGAATGCAGACCAGCCCGCTCTCTTTCTCCTGTCCAGTTCCTCCTTGAGATCATTGTTCATGTTTATCGAGCGTCCTAGGTACACGTACGAATTGGTTTCCAGTATCTGCAAACCATTTATCGTCATGTGATGTTCTTCGCACCAGGAGTTCTTCATAAACTGTGTCTTCTTCCGATTGATTCGTAGTCCAATTCTACTTCCAGCTTCGTTAAGTTCGTTGAGCATCGTCTCTGCTTCAGTGATAGAATTCGAAAATAAGACGATGTCGTCTGCAAATCGAAGGTTGGATAGGAATTTTCCATCCACTCGTATGCCCCTCTCGTCCCAGTCGAGCGACTTCATGATCCACTGCAACGCCGCGGTAAATCTATCTGGATGTCCCTTTATGTGCGGCTGATTGTATACCGGCACCCTCTTTCGTTTCGCTATTTGGGGAGCTTCGGCGAGATAGTATCGCCCTGCCTGACGCCCTTCTCGATGGGGATGGTTAAAGGACGGTCAAACAGTTGTAGCGTCGTTGAGCAGTGTCTGTAACAGTCAGCTAAGATGTTAACATAGGATGACTCCACTCCTTGGTCGACCAGCGCTGACAGGATGGCGTTCGTTTCGACGCTGTCAAAGGCTTTCTCGTAGTCGACAAAGGTCAGAACGAGAGGCATATGGTATTCACGACAGACCTCTATTACTCTCACGACAGTCTGGATGTGGTCCATGCAGCTGAATCCCTTGCGGAACCCAGCTTGCTCTACTGGTTGCGCTTCATCCAGTGTACTCGAGATGCGCGTTAGAATGATCTTCGTAAAGAGCTTGTAGAGCACGCTCAACAAGCTGATTGGTCGGTAATTACGAAGATCTTCTCTGTCACCCTTCTTGAATAGAATGACAGTGCGCGAAGTTCTCCACTGGTCCGGAATCCTTCCCTTTCGAAGATAGGACGTCATATGGGCTGCCAAAATGGCATGAAGTGAGTGTTTCCCTGCTCTAAGGAAGTCGACCGAGATCTTATCGGGTCCGGGAGCAGTTCCCTTCTTCATGCTGTCGATGGCAACTCGGACTTCTGAGGTAAGGATCGTAGGTGGTCGGGGGGCAGTGGGATAACAGGGTCTGGTACGGGTGTGGAGGAGCGGAATAGACTTGTGTAGAACGTTTCCGCTATAGATTCCATCTCCTTTCTAGAAGTAGTGAGGGTTCCGTCCTCTCTCAGGAGAGCAGAAAGTGGTACGCGATGATCGGTGAGGTCCCGCTTGCACTTCTTTATACTTGATCTTCCTTGTGCAGCTTCGAGGATTTTTCTTTGCCTGAACTGTCGTATGTCCTCCTGCAGCGCTATTCTGCAACTGGTGTCAGCAATCAGTCGCTCGAGGTGGGTTGCATTCGGATCAAGTCTCGCAGGCTCCTTCGCTTACTCAAGAGTTCTCTCGTTGACGTCGAGATGCGTTCGAGCTTTTCGCCTAAATTTTAATTAGAGAAGCCCTGCTATACACCACAGCGTATGAAGCCACCCAAAATTTTCGAGTAGCAATCTCCGCTCACTACACCTCTCAACAGGCCTTGCAACACAAAAGAGCTACCTCCTCGCGCTTGCACACAACGTTGAACCACCGAACTCCTAGCTTCAATAAATTATGGGCCTCATCGTACACGACCGATCTTCTTGTCTTCGGGCGGTGCAAGGCTCGTTTTTCAAGCCTGGTAGATAGACGAATTTTCGCCCGAAGAAGCCGATGATCAGATCCGGTACAGAAAGATGGCACTACAGCGACATCACAAAGGCACCGTCTCCTGTTCGTAATAATGTGATCGATCTCGGCACGTGTCGTGCCGTTGGGTGATTCCCATGTCCAGCGGCGATGTTCCTTCTTCTCGAACAAAGAGTTACCGTGGAAGAGACGAGTCGCGGACATGAGCCCAGCAAGCCGATTTCCGTTTTCGTTCCTTTCGCCAATCCCAAACTGGCCAATCCTGTCTTCTTTTTCTTCCACCTTACCGATCCTCGCATTGAAGTCTCCGACAATGAATTTATAGAAGGACTTCTCGGTGCGGATGACTTCCTCCAGCTGATCGTAGAATGCGTCTAATTCGGAATCATCAGCGCCCATGTGTGGTCGGTCCATAGCAATGACGATTCTACGCAACCCGAGATTGTGCAGCCTCTCGCCGGTCGTCGTACCGCCCAACGTCGGAAGCGGCAGAGCCCAGCGTGCGGGGTACTGAGGCTTTCTTCTTGCGGTTTGAGCTTGAAATTCTCCACTCTAGGATAGCGTAGCTAGCGCGTTCCTATACCCTGCACCATAGGCGTCGCTTACCTTAAAGGTCAGAGGAGAGTCCACCTAGCGACAATCGCGATCGGGCCGGTGGTACCCGATAGGATATCCGATGTTCTTGATTGGACAAGGGTTTTTGAGGCGACCCTTAACCGCCTTTTTGCATTCCTATCATCGACTTTTGCAAGCTTTTGGGTAACCAGATACAAACCATCCGTAGCTATCCTCCTCACGCAGCATACCTTCAGCCTACCCGTACGCCTCCCGCCATTTCAATGGAATAAACCAAGAAGCTACCCACTGCGGAGACAAGATCCATCCCTGAAACCACCTTGCAATCTCCAAGAACGCCACTGAGCTGTCTGCTGACCTCTTCCTGGAGGCATGCCGGGTGTGCACCTTTAGTCAGGATTGACCTTTCACACCTCCTCGCCGTGGTTATCTCGCACCACCCTGTAACCTGCCTCTGGGTGGACCTCGCTTAATTAGCTGAGCTGAGTGCTGACCCAACTCCGACAGACTCATTATAGAGGATATTGATCGGTAATAAATTCATTTATGCAGTAGCGGTTGGAGAAAACAAAATATCAGAAAAAAATGGATGAAAATGAGAGCTCAAAAATAACTAATTTTTGGCTAATAGCATTCGCAGTGCAAGCCGTTTTCATGCAGAACAGTTACGAAGTTGAAACTTTCGCCTAACTTTCCTACAGGCAAACTATGTAATTTATGAATGAGGCATTACCTTTTATGGGAAGATCACCTCCACAGGTATTGAATCAGGTGGGAGAGTGCATCACAAAACACTACAATTGTTTGTATGTCCATCTCAAGCATGTTCTCAAGCTACTTCTACAGCAGTCCTCTGCATGACTCATTCACTTACCAACTTCTAGCAGATTCGGCTACAACTGGCGCTCCACTATTCGGAGATGCAGATCAACTGCCTGCTCCACCTCTTTACATGGATTCCAGTGCACTTCCTTTGTACAGCACCACTACTGTGTCAGTGCCTGCACCATTACTCTGCGTGGCTTCTTCTCCATTTCAGGTCACCCCTCTGTCGTATTGAATTCGACTTCGTCCCAGATCCCCTTTGTTTCTATCCCTGGTCCTGCTTCATCCTCGATTTATGCATACATTTCAGCATCACCACTTCCACCCCAAGAAATATCATATGCACCCGTCCCTCCGCTTTCGCAAACTACACGTAATATATCTATCCCATTCCACCTGATAGCCTTACCAATTCTGTAGCCACAGAATCTTCTTACAGGTACATCGAACACATCCATTTCCCCCACCAATACAATACAATACAATATACAATATACAATACAATATGTCACTAATACATCTGTATAATCTGAATTTTTTGTTAACTACGCTAAAAATTTGTATAAATTAAGCTTTGGTTTGTTTCCGTAAATGTAATAAAGATAATAGACTAGACTTGATAATCAATACTGTGCATGAGAGCGATATGTTGGAGCGAGGTCAGCACTCAGCACACCTAATTAAGCACGGTACCCAGAGCAGGTTAGGGGTCGAGATAACCAACGCAAAGTGTTGCAAAGCTTCATCCTGACTCAAATTTCCCTCTCCCCCGTACATGCTCCAGAGGTGAATTGCCCGGGACCCCACCGAAGTCGGACATGTCACCCGAACCCTAAAATCTCTTTGATAAAATGCGCATTGCGAAAACAATCATCTACTTAGGGTATTTTCTCTCACCCTTCTTTATACTAGCTATAATTTGTGTTGTGCCAGCTGTTTTGGCTCACCCATGCCTCTGCTTCTGGTCGCTTTTATTGGAAAGCTTTTAGAAGTGATAAAAAACCAAAAAAACATTAGAATCAATAGCGATCGATTTTACCTGGCGCAGAGTACGAAAGCTGCCTTACCGATTTGGAGGAGACATGTGCAATAGCTTGAACTCCTTTCAAGAAGTAAAAATTTTACATTCGGTCCATATCTGGTTTGGATCCGGTCCAACAACGGAGAGACAAAAAGTGGTGCAAGAGCCCGTGCCTAGTAATCCCGATTTTCGTATGGGAGGCGACAAGCTCCTGAGGTGGGTGTAAAAGCGGGAGCAGATTAAGAATTGCTTCTCCCTGCAGAAATTTAACTCACCACAGACTGCACGAGCTATTGCACCACATGCCTGCCCCTCCTTATTGGAACAGACCTCTATTTTGTAACATGCTGCAAAACTTTTTATATGGAACTAAAAGACGTTAGAATGCGATGGACCTGTTGCGATGTCATGTGTGTAGAGGGGGCGTGATTGAGTAGAACTTCCAATATCAGGTACTGACGAGTGTCTCTTTTCGTCACACAGTCTTCTACCCTATTGCTGCAGTTCTCCTAACAGAGGTGTGTGTAGATTTGCTATCCAATTTTTCTTTCAAAAGTCTATGTGAAGCAAACCAGCTTCCCCAGTATTCCATCGACATTATATCACTAACTGAGCACTGTTAATGTCTTACCGGTGGCAAGCCATTTCGTATGTGCCGGCGTTTGTTTCTCAGATATACTCGAACTTTCGTCATAATGACAACCATGAGCGCTTCCACACAGCTTACAATCGGAACCACCAACAGAACAGCCCGTGCGGTGGTGTCACCGATATCCAGATGTGGACTCTGAAGCAAAATTCATTTTAATAGTGGAGCACAGCGCAAGATTCGTCACACGCTGTGACGTACAATACCGCCACTAACTTTTGAAATTTCTCCGCTGAGCGACGGATTTGCAGCGTCGCAAAGCGTCGCCCCTTCATAACTCCCCCCAAAGCGGGTCAAATGATTGGTGCTCTACACCATTGGACTCGTCTCTCTGTGGCGAGTCTAACCATGTGGAAAACTACGGTACTCGCCGTAAAAAATCGAAAAAAACACGCGAAAAACGCAAATTCGCGTTTTTTTTCGTTTTTTCGTTATAACTCGCTTCAGAATTAAGATTTTCGAAATCTGAAAAAAGCATTGATTTCAGCTCGTCGAGTTCTATAAGAATATGCTTTTAAACTTTTGGAAAGCCTACTTCAGATTGC